GAATCTCACAAGCAACCAAATTAGAGGTACATTTGCAGATTTGACATTGGAATTTTCATATTCCCCTGCACTACATCTGAGTTCTAACAAGTTGGAAGGTCCAATCCCCTCAGTTCTATCAACAACCTCATATCTGGAACTCTCTTATAATAAACTTTCAGGGTCAATTTCGTTCTTGTGTTCAAGTGTAGCTATTGGTTTAGTCTTTCTTGACCTCTCAAGCAATAATGTTTCTAGAGAAGTTCTAGATTGCTTGACACATTTGGAGAATCTAGTCATGCTTGATTTGAGTTACAACGCTTTGTCGGGGAAAATTCCTACAACAATAGGCTCCATATTTCAGATTGAAACACTCAAATTGAGAAGCAATAGATTTGTGGGAAAATTGCCTTCGTCGTTGAAGAATTGCACGAGTTTAGTACTCGTTGATGTTGGGGATAATAAATTATCCGGACCTATACCTAAATGGTTAGGGGTTAGCTTAAAGAATTTGGTTATCCTGATGCTTTCGTCTAATCACTTCAATGGAAGCTTGCCCACACAAATATGCCATCTAACAGACATTCAAATTTTGGATTTCTCCATGAACAACATCTCTAGAAGCATACTCAAATGCCTCAACAATTTAACTACTCTGGCTCAGAAAGGAAATCCAAGTTTGGACATCGAACATCCTGCCGCCGTTCCCACCGCAGCATCTATTGCATATCCTTATGATATTTCTTATGATATTGATGAAATTCAATATGAGGATAATGCAACCTTCATATGGAAAGGAAGAATGTACTCATACAAAAACACTTTGGGGCTTGTGAAGATAATTGATTTGTCAAGCAATAGATTGATAGGAGAGATTCCAAGTGAAATCACTCATCTTGTTGGGTTGGTTTCTTTAAACCTGTCGAGAAACCAATTAACAGGTCAAATAACTCAGAGATTGGAAACTTGCAGTCACTGGATGTCCTTGATTTATCAAGAAACCAGATAGAAGGACGAATTCCAACAAGCCTTGCTTGGATAGATCGTCTTGGTTTCTTGGACTTATCATTTAACAACTTATCTGGCGAAATTCCAATCGGGACTCAGCTCCAAAGCTTTATGCTGGAAATCCTCAACTCTGCGAACCTCCACTTAAAAAGATGTGTGTTGATCAAAATGTGCAAACATACTTGAGCAATCGAGAGGATGATAAGGATGAGCTTATAACATGGGGATTTTACATCAGTATGGGGGTTGGGTTTGCAGCTGGATTTTGGGGAGTTTGTGGCACTTTGATATTCAAGAGGTCATGAAGATACGCATACTTCAAGTTCCTGAATGGTTTAAATGATTGGCTTTATGTGAGAGTAGCTCAGATCAAGCGGCAACTCAAGGATATGCTTAATAGATAAGCTGTAAGTAGATGAATTCTTGTGTTTTTAAACAAAACATATGGAGTTAAGCTATTTTTGTTTAATTTGGTTTTCATCAAAACTTATGGGTGCTTGTTTGCTTGTATCTTTAGCTCCAGCATCTTCGGAGTGGGAGGCAACCTCCATGCGTCAGTTGACTTGAAGAGTGCATAGTTGCCATGGAAGCAGTGATATATCTGCACAAGTTTTCAAGTATTGGTTTAAATGATTGGCTTTGTTTGTATTAATATTAATAAGGATTTGTTACTGTATCTTTGTTTGTAAGCAATTATGTAGTGGGGATTTTCCTTGGTAAATGATTTGTTAGTGTGTCTTGTTTGTAAGCAATTATGAATAGGACTTCTCCAAACAATTGTTTGCCATGAATTTTATTTTTTGCAGAAAGCAAATTATGAATTGGTATCCTCTGTTTTTCATCAGAAAGAATACACCAGGAATCTTTTGTGTATTATGTACACAAATTACAAGCTTTTTCCCTCCCAGTGTAGTTTACAACATTTTTTTTTTTCCATTTTTCCAGAGTAATTCATATACTATAAACATTAAAATGGACAAGAATTCAAATACAACATATCTCACTAGAAAATGACCAGAATCTTAATATCATGGAACTGAGTGAAGCTTTGACTTTCGCGGTTCGTGAAAGCCAAATTGAGAAGTGTCAAATTCAAAACCAGACCCTTGGGGGGCGTTTGATATCCTCTTAAAGTATGGAACTCAAAAATTTTGATTTTTCTTAAAAATAAGGAATTCAGGCTCGTTTTGCCTTTGAACCTGCCCCGTTATGTGGGACCCACCAATTGCCCGGGCAACTGAACCCCGCTGGAACTCACGCCTGGGTCTTGGGTCCCCTCCTGCTCGGATAATTCGAACTGCTGGAAGTGCCCTTAGAGACGTACCCAAACGTGGTCGTTCCATTTTGGGTATTATTAGTATTACGGAGCCAAAAAGCGCAAAAGCTTCGTCGTTTTGATCACAACGTTTCTAGAGGTAAAGAGCAAGAGAAGGGAAGAATTCTCGTTAGTGAGACACCGAAGACTGAGCGATGTACTTGAAGAAGCCGCTGTGGAGTGAGGGAACGACGACACCGAAGGCCTCGGCGGAATCTGATTCAAACCCACCCGCCACCGCCGTCAGCGATCTGGTCAACTCGTTGACCACGCAGAGAGTGTACCGCGAGGTCACCCTCGCTCTCCGGAGCGGCCTGCGCGACGTTCGTGCCGAGTTCTCTTTCCTCCGAGTCCGCGGCCTCCGCAGCCTCCTCAAGTTCCTCCGATCAGTCGCCGAGTCCGATTCCACCATCAACCTCTTCTCTCAGACCCAATCGCTCCCTGAGCTTCAAGGTAATTCGAAATCAGAAATTTCAATTTTTGCTTTCATTTCCTGATAAATTGATTTTGATTTGTTTGAAAATGGTGAACAGTGGTGCCGGTTCTGTTTCAAAACTCGCTGAAAGATGCGGAGGATGAGATCGTGCGAAATTTGGATCACATTTTCGGGGTCGAGCCTCTGAAGATCACGAGCCCTTCAAGCGACTCCGAGGTTTCGCTTGCGCTTCGAGTTTTGGAGGGCTGTTGTCTGCTTCATCCAGATAGCGCGGTCTTGGCTCATCAGCACAAGGCCATTCAGGTAGGTACCCATGTAGCTAAAAGCTCAACCAAAATCTATGGAGTAGTTATGAATTTCAGATATTAAAGTTTTTGGTTTTTGTTTTTGTAATTGGGTTTGTGTAGGTGTTGATGAATATACTGCCAACTCGAGGGGTGATTGAGCAAAGCGCTTGCTTGGATGCTTTGATTGCAATAATGTTGGATTCATCAGCTAATCAAATGGTAGGTTCAAGCCTCGTTGTGCTTGGTTTCTGATTGGTGATGGGATTTTACAATTTCATTGTTTTTGCGTAATGTTCAGGATTTTGAAGCGTTTCATGGTATTGAGGAAGTTGCAGAGCTCATTAGAGACAAGCAAGTTGATGAGAACCTCAGGTTTTTGTTCAATTTATGCTGATTGATTGATTGGTTTCTTATGTTAACCTCCGTTATTGCATAAAATCTGACATATATATTGAGATGGTGCCTTCACTGTCCTGAGTTGTGGTTTGAAGCTTTATCTACTTAGTGTGGTTTTTCGAAGGGTGAATTCTGGGAAATGAGTAGTTTCATTGATAAATTGTCGGGTAAATGTAAAAGTTTGTGCAACAATAGGTTTATGGAAGCCACATGATTGCTGTCTGTGCTACTTGGTTCTTCCAAATCCTTGCATCTTTATCATTAGCAGTGCCATTTCGGCTTGTGCATCAGACGAGTCTTGATAAAAATCCCATGTTTTCCTTCATTCTAGGCTTAGTTGAGCTATGTCCTGTTGCTCATTTTCATTTTCATCAAATGTGTAATGAGGTCTTCTTCGAGAAATGAGTTAGAGTTAGGGTTTCTGAATATTGGTCTGCCTAGGCTGAGGTCTTTTCTTTGCTAATCTAATGGACACTGAAGGCCACCATCTTTTGCTTCTGATTAGGTTGAAATGCGGAGAGTTCTTGCTACTGCTCATTGGGCATGTAAATGGGAGGGACAGGCCTCCCTTGGCAACTGTACATGAAGACATAAGGAGGCTTTTAGGTGAGAAATCTGCTTCCTTGATATGGGCAGCCAGTCAATTTGGTTCAACTCTTGATCCGGAGCAGAGACTAACCGCGCTTCACATCCAAGCTCGTCGCGTGATAGAGTCCTTGGACCTGTACTGAATCTGAACATAGAAACTAGAAAGCACCCTAGGCAATTTTCCTTTGTTTTTCAATGAAATCACAATCTGTAGCCGTATTTTTGCCCATTTACCTGTTTGTATGTAGTTCTTTGTTTGCAACGGCTGATGTTCTAGAATGTTTAAGAAATTGAGTTAAGAAACTGTGTTCATATATTTTGAACAACATAGAGCAGCAATCTTGTTGTAGTTATAAACCATTTTCATGTGCATAATCATAGTATTCGAAGTCGAATAAATCTCGACGAATTTCTTCTCTGTCTTTGCCGGAATTGCATCCGGGGGCGCTTTTGAAATCCAATTAGGTTGTAGTGGTGTTACCATGACACACATACTTTCATCTTAACCATGCCGTCGACAGCTTAGCATCACTAATAAGAGGAGGTGAGATTATTTTATGACACGTGACGTTCGTGTACGAATATTCCACGTTGGCCACAAATTATGCGGAGTGTAATTTACACAGAAATAAACGCAATAAAATAACAAAATATTACAATTTTAAAGAAAAGAAAAACAAAAAATAAGTTTTGAAATTTGTTTCGTTAAAATCAAATAGCAACTTTTGCAATTCTTTGCTTGGTTTAAACTAAGGGCCAGATTTCTAAAAATTCCCGAAATGACCCATACTCTCGCTATTTAATTATCCTTTCACCCATCTAAAAGCAACCGAATTTCCGACTTGCATGGAGGGGCATTTGGATAACTTTGACCTTTTCCCCTCCCTTCACGAGGATGATACGCCACGTGTCAGCCTCTCGACCCATCTTCCTTCGAGTATAACGCCCACTCAGATTCTTCCCGCTTGTTTAAATAATAAAAAAGAAAAATATTAAATAGAAAAAATCTGGAAGCAATGTTTGTATGAGAAAAAAAAGGCTTCTGGTTATCCTCTCAAGCTCGAGAGAGTGAAAGCGACCGAGAAGCAACGAGGCACACACAGAGAGCGTGAAAACACTGTCGTTTCACTCCCTGCCTTTCATCTTTTTGGTTGCTGGACCCTGAATTCTGAAATGGTGTGAGAGCTTGTTGAGCTGAAACAGTTAATTGTTTGAGCTTAGCTTCAATCAGGAGATACAGAGCAAAATGGCTATCGGCGGTTTGATCTCGAACCGGAATTTAGGTTCTTTTATCGACTCAGGTACTGTTGCTTCACTACCTTATCCTGATGTTTGTGTTCTTATTAGTTTTTGGTATTTTGATTTTGGTTGCGTTTTGTGAATTGTAGCTTCTCAATGGAATTCATGCATGCATGTGATTTGAATTTGATTATTTTATTTTCGAATTTCCATTTTTGTAAGCTGAACGAATTTGTTTGTTTGGTTGCATGTTGCTTCTTCTGCTTGGCATTATCTGTACATAATCTGGTTATGTTGGTAAATTTTCGGTAGCAAATTGTTGATTTTGCTGCTGAATTTTTCAGGAATGTAGTAATTTAAGCAAAGTCTACCTTAATTCAACAATTCACCAATCAGCAATAAATTTCAGTGCATGTAAACTTTTCCCAACCTAAATTAGACTGGTTTCTTGTTTCACAGACGTGTGTGTGTGTATATATATATATATATATAATGTATGAATATATATACTGAGCAATTTTGGGAATGCTTTTATCTTTCTGAGTTCATTAAGGACTTCCTTAATTCGGCCGAAGAAATTTAGACAATTTATATGTCGAATTGGAAATAGATGGAGGGATGGACCATTTGGGAATGCTGATCAATATAGCTTACTATCTTCATTTGGCAAATCCCTTGTTACTATCTGTAACTCTTTGATATTGGCAGGGAAAGTATGTCAAACAAACCACACTGTTGTGCATCGCAAAGGAGAGCGTCTGTACAATCAGGGGAAAACATTTTACCAAAATTTATGTACTCCAAGGGTTTCTGCATCTAGAAACTCGTATAGCCCTTATCTGTGTGCAATTAGTTCTTCAGATGCAAGCATTCTGAAGCCAACAGGTAGGGTGCATGATGAAGGTGACCTTTATCTAATAATGTCTCTGCAATCTGGTATAAGGTCTCAGAGCATCATTACTAAACAAAGAAGTACAGGAAGATGTAAAAGCTATCTTTCTTCAAACCATTCATTTAGAAGTTGTATTCAATCAAGAAAGCTGGATAAGCTTGATAACAGGCAATACCAGAAGTATGAACTTGTTAAGGTTAACAGGACCCGTGCTTATTACAAGTCAGAGGATAATGACATAACAAAACCAGAGGTGGACTCACTGTCATCAATAGAGGGGTCTAGTGAAGCTGTTTTGGCAGATGGAAATGTGCTTAAACTATCTTCTTGGTGGGAGCAATTTCCCAAGCGCTGGGTGATTGTACTCCTTTGTTTTACAGCATTTCTGTTGTGCAACATGGATCGTGTGAGTATTTTTCTATTTATGATCATTGTTTTTATTTCTCATTGGTCTAAGCATTGCAAACTTGATATCTCAATCAGCTAACAATGTTAAATCCTTATTGTAGGTAAACATGAGCATTGCAATACTTCCCATGTCACAGGAATTTAACTGGGATAGTGCAACAGTTGGCTTGATTCAGTCCTCTTTTTTTTGGGGCTACCTACTTACTCAGGTTTGACTCAGCATAGCTAATGTGTTTTTCCTTACTCAAATAAATTACACTTTCATTCTCAATCTTCTATGCGTACATTAGGAGGAATGTGATAATGGTTCTTTCCTTGTATCGTACGGCCATATATTTGGCGTTCAAGCTACATATCTGATGTATGCATATATCTCTTTTCCTATCCAGATGATGTTATAAATTCCATGCCAATTCTGCTGTCTGATTGTAATAGTTTTATGATTTCTCTTGCATATAGATTCTTGGAGGCATATGGGCAGATAAAATTGGTGGGAAGCGTGTATTGGGTTTCGGAGTGATCTGGTGGTCAGTAGCGACAGTTTTGACACCTGTTGCAGCAAAAATCAGCCTTCCTTTTTTGCTTATTATGCGTGCTTTTATGGGGATTGGTGAGGTTTGTCTTTTCAAATGCTTTGCTATGGATCTCTGGTCCTTTACTATTCTGCATTTGAACGTAAATCTGAAACTCTCCCAGCGTACCTTTTTGCTTAGGAATTGACTTGGCTAACTTTACAACTGAAACACTGTGCAAAGAGCAGAACAAGACAGGAGAAAATAATTAACCTAAAAATTACATTGGTTTTGATACCCCCTAAAAATTGAAAAAGAATGAGGAGCTTGTATTTGCATGGCAGGTTCATTGGTTAGTAATTGTCTCAATGCACTTTTGTAGTTTAGCACATACAAATTTTTGCTTAGCTTCCTAAGTTTTTTCGCATTTGAGATCTATTGTATATCAGCTTCCTTCCTGAAATAGGAATTGACAATCCAATTAAGGATTCTCATTGCTGAACAATTTCCCTTTATCTTTCCACAGGGTGTTGCTATGCCTGCAATGAATAATATACTATCTAAGTGGATTCCAGTGTCAGAGAGAAGCAGAGCACTTTCACTAGTATATAGTGGCATGTATCTTGGTTCTGTCACTGGGTTGGCTTTTTCTCCTATTCTGATCCAGAAGTTTAAATGGCCGTCCGTGTTTTACTCATTTGGCTCTCTTGGTAGTATCTGGTTTGCATTATGGCTGAAAAAGGTATGCTCTTGCTTACTTAGTTTTTTCATTGGAAATCGTTGCATTACCTTGTCTACTTTTGATTAGGTAGGATAGACTATGTAAAGAGAAGAAAATGAATAATCTACGTATCTTTAGTATGTATTCTTGTTTGGGCTGTGCAATATTCAATAATGCACTCATTTGCAAAAAGAAAGAAAAAAGAAAAAAAGAAATCAATGATATTTGATTCTAGGTCAATGTAATTTTAACTCAGAATTGTATTTGATGAAAGTTTGTTGACTAGACTTGTTTTGAAGGCTTTGGGTGTGATATTCTTATGTCCTTTTCAATTCCGGGATTGTGTGAATGAACTACTACTGAATCTTCAATTTAAAGTAAAAATATAGGGCATTATCCTTAATAAGGTCACTTGTCTTGTGAACATATATAATGTTTTACACCAGTGGTTTCTCATGTCCATCCGTCTTAGTGACTCTTCAAACACCACAAAAATATACTCTTATATAGACATGACGCGTATGGAAAATATGAATGAACAGATTGAAGCTGCACTTCAGATGCTGTTCCATAAACGTTAACTGTAAAAGCTCTTTCTTGCATGTTGAATCCCCAGGCATATAGCTCTCCAAAAGAAGATCCGGAGCTTAGCACAGAGGAAAAAGAACTTATCATGGGTGGCAACATATCTAAGGAACCTGTTACTGTCATTCCTTGGAAGCTAATTTTATCAAAACCACCTGTTTGGGCTCTTATAATCTGCCACTTTTGCCATAATTGGGGAACCTTTATTCTATTGACGTGGATGCCTACATACTACAATCAGGTAAGGAATTGATTTCTCCAAAAATGAGCCACATGCCCACAACACAACACCCACTTACATATCTCTGTGCAATCTTTGGATTCAGAAATTTCAAGTACTGTCTCACATGAAATCCTACTTTTTCTACTATCCTTGAGCAATTCAACAATTTTAACCAGAAGAAGATTAATTTTTAATCTTGCATATTCAGGTTTTGAAGTTCAACCTCACTGAATCGGGACTCTTCTGTGTCTTGCCATGGTTGACCATGGCTGTTTTTGCAAATATAGGAGGCTGGATTGCAGATACACTTGTCAGCAGAGGCCTTTCTGTGACAACAGTTCGCAAGGCAAGAACTATTACTGCTTGAAGCATTGAATGTGGTTTAGGGGCCGACTTTTCCTAATGATTTCCTCCAAATCTGTTTGTTGTTGCAGATCATGCAATCAATTGGGTTTTTGGGACCGGCCTTTTTTCTTTCTCAGCTGAGCCGTGTCAAGACACCTGCAATGGCAGTACTATGCATGGCATGCAGTCAGGTAAAAAGTAGTAGTTATAACTTTGACTGAGCTTGAATATATTTCCAATGCTTCTAAAATGTGTTGTTTGGTAAGTATTACTTGTAGGGTTATCTGTTCATGCGCTCTTGCTTATTCACAGGGATCTGATGCATTCTCACAATCTGGTCTCTACTCCAATCATCAAGACATTGGACCTCGCTATTCTGTGAGTTGCTATATTCTGAACATATGGCTAGTTGATGAACTATATATACCATTTTCTATAATCAATTTCTAATCTGTCATTTTATAAGTTTATTTGTGCTTTCAATTCTTTACCAACAACATACCTGAAGAAGTAATCAAATTATCTGAACCCTGTGCAATCATACTTATAATACAATTACAGGGAGTATTGCTGGGACTGTCAAACACAGCAGGAGTTCTTGCTGGTGTCTTTGGTACAGCTGCAACCGGGTACATACTCCAAAGAGGTACAATTAATACTTCAATTAAATCATTCTCTTCTGCAGTTTTCAGTTTCCAGTTTCCAGTTTCCAGTTTTGTATTGACTTCTTAAACTTCAATTTTCAGTTTCCAGTGTTGACTTCCCATACTTTATTATCTGCAGGTTCTTGGGATGATGTATTCAAGGTGGCTGTTGCATTGTACCTCGTAGGCACATTAATCTGGAACATATTTTCAACCGGAGAGAAAATCCTCGATTAGAGAAATGCAAGAATGGGAAGGAATGAAAGCTATGACGACATGGAAGAAATGTGAACGCATGAAAGGGAAATCCGGCTGAGCGAACTAGTATTTAAGATATCACGATATCACCATCAATGTTTTTGTAACGACTTCTGAGGCCCTCTCTGGGTTGGCTGGAGACCCCCCTTTTTACAGGTTAATAATGCCTTTAGTTTCAGTGTATGGCTCTAATGTAGAGAACCTATGGGTAATTTGCACCCCATGAACCTTTTGCTTTGCCCATGCAATGCTAATAGCATGTGATCCGCCTAAGTTCTTTCTTACTGGATTTCTCCACAGTAACATTGCTTCTCGCATTCCACCGTATGTACAGCGCCCGATTACGGCACCGGTGTGTGATCAGATTTTCTTTCAAACTTTAGATTTGTGTAGTAGTAGTATAGAGATTTGATGTGTAGCTCGGTGATGTAGATTCTAGCTATAATTGTTTTCATAAAAACTCAAATATTAATTATCAGAAAGAAACAAAGAATTAAGAATAAAAATTCTGTTATGCAATATAAGTAGGACTAGGCATTTCCATCCATCATCTTCTGACAATAAAAACCTGTTTAAAACCCATGCATTATCTCCATTGGAGATAAGACTAATCTGACCCCACCCCTCTGAACTTGCAGAAATTTTTATTGACCTTATCTACATGAAGCAAGAGGCAGAAAAAAGAAAAAAGAAAGAAACAAAGATAATAACATTACATTGGGCAAAATCCATGAAGCAAGAAGCAGAGAAAGCTACAAGGTTGAGATGAACCCGGCACAAAATCTTTTCCAAATGAATAGTAATAAATATGGATAAATGTAAAATTATGAAATTTGAACATACAAGAACATAAAGAATCTTAATGTAAAATAAAATTTTGCAAGCTCCTTTTCTTTCTTTGTTTTGTTTTGTTTTTGTTTTTGTTTTTTGTTTTTTTTTGCCTACAAGGGGAAAGCTAGATGCTCTCTCTCTCTCTCTCTCTCTCTCTCTCTCTAAGCTGATGTATTTGTGAGAGACTGTACCCCCCTTGTGTAGTGGAAAAGACCAATTTGCTTGTTGTGACCCAAAACATTTACAAAACATTTAATTGAACCACATGATCTTTGCTTCCCAATGCCCCCATCTATGCTCCGAGTCTTCATCTTCATGGGTTCCACCACTCCATAAATAACACCACATTCACAACACAGCCTACCCTCAACACCCAAAATTAAAACCCCCATCCTCTTAAGCCACCCCAACTACCGCTTCGCCATTAACGCCGTGACATTTAACCCCAACACACTCTTGCCCTTGCAACTTTGCCTCCATGTCCTTCTTTGCCCTTGCCACAATTGCCCCTAATTCCCTAGGGTGCACATTCACCATGAGTCCATGCTTCATGAACAATGTCAATGACATCTTCTGCTCCACCTTGTGGCCCGGTACCAGCGTCAGCCGGTGCCGAAGCAACACCGACGCCACTACCGACTTCATTTGCAAGTATGCCAAGTCCTTCCCTAGACATATTCTTGGACCAGCATTGAATGCTACATATTTATTTGAATCATGCATTATGAACTTCTTACCGTCTGAAGATAACCACCTCTCTGGTCGAAACTCTAGGCAATCGTCCCCCCACGTGGACTTCATCCGCCCCGTTGCGTATATTGAGTAGGTCACTGATGATCCGGCGGGCACGAATGTCCCATCGGGCAAAATATCATCTCGCACAACATGTTTTGAGTCCTCAGGCACGGAAGGGTACAACCTAAGGCTTTCGGACAGTGCTGCCTTCAAGTACATCAATCGGTCAATTTCCTCAAACTCCAAAGGCTCTTCCAACCAACTCACCACATCATCACCACGTGTCTCGATCAGAACGGTGCAGATTTCGTGCAAGATTTTCTCTTCGATTATTGGGTTCAGAGTGACCAACCAAAAGAACCAGCTCAGCGCAGCCGATGACGTGTCGCGTCCAGCTAGGATAAAATTGAGTGCCACGTGTTGGAGGAAAGTATCTGAATAGTTCTCCTTTTTCTTCATAAACCTTGACAACAGATCATCATGTGGGTTTCCATCTTTCTGCTGATTCAGCAACTCGAGCTTACGGGAAGCAATCACATCGGATAAATACTCCTCAATGTGCACAAGGCTTCGGCTCAGCGTGACTTCCATTCCAAGCCCAAGCCACTTCTTCAGCTTCCACAGCACTTCCGGCAAAATAAAACGTTGTAGTGAGGCTTCGGTGGCTCGGTCGAAAGCCGAAGCGAAGCCGTTGTCCGGGAACCCCGGCGCGCAAGTCTGCGGGTCCTTCCCGAAAGTCAAGCCGCATATGTTGTCGAAAGTGAGCCGAAGCAACAAGTCTTGAAGATCAACCGGCTCGGATTCAAGCTCAGCCGATTTAAGAATTGGGCAGAACCTCAGCTTGATGGATCGGCTGACCCACCGAGCCATGGCTTGGCGGAGCGTCCGGGTTGTGAATTCCAGTGCGGCCGTCTTCCTCTGAAACAGCCACGTGTCGCCATCTGAGTTGAAGATCCCTTCGCCCAAAAGATCATGAAACACGGATTGCCAAGTGGGGCCCTTGGGGTAATTGTCGAACCGGGTTTTCAGTATGTGCTCCAGATTCTTCGGGTCGCACGTGACGGTCACGAGGCCCTGCTTTCTGGCGAGGAAGGGGATGGCGCAGATGCATGTTTGATACGTGCCGCCGCAGGCGCGTAGGTTGTCGCAGATCCAGTCGTGCAAGCGGTCGGAATTCTCTATGAGGCCCGGGAGGCTGCCCAATAAGGGCCAGACACCTGGACCCTTCAGGGACCGTGAGATGAAGGTGAACCAAAGTAAATAAGCTGTGATGGCCGTCAAAACCAGCAAGGCCGTACCAATCTCCATGCTTACTTGTTTGCCACGTATAGACCAAATCGCCCAAAACCCAAAAAGAATGCAATGCAGCAACCACACTCAATCTCACTGAGCCAGCTACCAGCAAGCAAACCCAAAACCTGTTTTTTCCTGGAAAGTATTTTCCCGAGAAAATGTTTTCTGGGAAAGTACTTTTCTTGTAAAGAAGTGGGACGAAGTTACTATAAAACGTACGTCATAGGAATATGGGTCTGAAATGCGAGAAATAGATGAAAAGAAGGAAAACCCAGGTTGTGTTTTTCATGCATATGAAATGTTTGAGGGATTGATTGAGAAAAGGAGAGAGCTTTAATGGATCTAAAAAATATGGAAGGTTAACTGTAAGGTGGTGCTTCTCAAGTAGAAGAACGAGAGGAGTAAATATTTTATGAAGCAGAGAGATGGAGGAGTGACTGATATAAAGTGGAGTGGAGTGTTAATTGAGAGAGGGATTTATAGGTGAGAATTGTATTGAGAAGCAATTATTAAGGCCAGACTGGTCCTTGAAATTGCTCTCTATCTCTCTGTTTCTTTTTTTGTTTTCTCTCACTAAAATTAAGCTTCACAGCAGCACAGCAGGCGCCATAAATGTCTTCAGAGGTCGTTGAACTTTTTAAAGCTTGCCCGAAACCTCTTTCTCTCTCCCCCTCTCTAGAGCTCTTTTTCCACAAAAACCACTGGCTCTAGCAAATTAAGATGATCTGCTCTCTCTCTCTCTCTCATCTGCAACTCTTACACCTAATTTTACTGGAAATGGAAGACGAGATTTAATTCAAGAGCATTGAATGAAGAGGAAATTTAATGAGATTAGTTGAGGAACTATATATATAAAGGAAGTAGAGAGTCCCCAAAAAGAAAAAAATACAAATAAAAAACAATGATAACTATATTGAAAAAAAAAAGAAAAAAAAGAAAAAAGGGTCAACCACATTACACACATACACAGTATCTGTTTTAATTGGATAAATTGTGGGTTGTTTATGATCATTATCTTAACCCTAATAAGCCCCCTTCCCCTTTTTCTTTCTTTCTTTCTTTATAAGTTATACCTTTAAGTATTAAAATTAAATGAAAATTGGGTTCTTCATGTGGTTCTTTTTGGTTAGGGTTGGGTGAGCAACCCACCCACAATTTAAGACCCTTTTTTGCTTCTCTTTCCTTTGCTTTGCTTTGCTTTGCTTGTGTGACTCTTTTTTCTTAGCTAGTAAAAACAATTCTGGGATTCTTCACAGGTTTGACCCTCTCACTTTTAATGCATTATAATTTATAATCAATGAAATTATCAAAAAATGCGTGCCTCTCTGCCTGTAACATGAAAAAAGTCAAAACCCCATATACAATATCTATCTATATTTATATAATGTTCACCTGAGTGCAGGTATGGCCTAAATTTTTGCACATTGGCTGGCTGCAGACGCTTCATCAGGATTCATATGAAACCTGGCATTGAAATTGAAGAGCTTTGACAAATTTGGGATAATGCTATCTCGTCAAACTGTGAATCTAAAATGTTAATTCTCGTTATTTTCTAGTATCTCGTCAAACTGTGAATCTAAAATGTTAATTCCCGTCATTTTCTAGCAACGTAAGTATTTATTCGATAAATATATAAAGTCTAATAAGAAAACATAACGCTAACGAATGAATTTATGACATCCATGAATGAGAACGTGATTGTGAATAAGCCCCTACGTGAGATCCCATGTGATGATGGAAATGAGTTCGTGAGAGTGCCTAACAATTGTTGAACCATTCCACGGTTTAGGTGTGCTTGGCTAAGCACCATCTCTATCAGTGTCATCAAATTAATCACATCATGTGCATCTGACAAGGCTTCATTCATTCTATAATAATGTGATTATCATTATTATAGGATGAAATTATATAAGTTTCATTCATTCTAATTTCTATATTAGTGCTAAGGTAAGCCAATCCAATTTATGTAATTACCTGGATAATATTACATATGTTTTCTTTAGGCTAGTTAACTTTAGGTTTTCTTTGACAAGAAAAAAAAAACATAAAAAGCTTTAGGTTTTCTTATCCAACTTATTTATTAATCGAGCTCGATCTTAAATTTAAGATTAGGAACCTGTTATGTTTTGATTAATCATCGCTCATATCATTTTTAAAATAAACCTAGATGGCAGCAAATCAAGGGAAACAAAAAACCAATTTGACTCTAGGAGAATCAACACATGGGAAAGAAAACAAAAACATAATATTTTTCTCAGAATTCCGATTAAATAAGTTTGTTATCAATTCATTTATAATTCGTGTTAGCGAGTCATGTCATTTGGTGTTGGATCATGATGCGTTAAAAAATTATAGAGATATTTATTCAAAAATTATTTTTTGTTTTTGTTTTGGAATAGATGCTTTATTAAAAAAAAATAATAAGCACCATAAGAGTGTACAAAGATAGCACTGAAACAACCAATACT